AAAATCAAATAAAAAAAAAGAACAAATTACGTACAGCTGCAATAAACAAGCACCGCAGTTCACTAGAGGGCGTGGACATAGAGTACAAACTAGTTACTAGACCAGTGATGTCAACGTTCACCGTGACGTCCGTTTGGTCGAGTGATTGATCTTTCTGCCTTTATATCTATGACATAAACTGAAAAACTAAAGCAGTATACTGAATATTCAAGGTAAGTGCCAATGGGAAAACAAATTTATGTGAGTAGTATGTTAAGGACAATCTATAAATATGTACCAAAAGGTTTTAAATTCTATTAGAGAATATTTCCCTGTTTTGTGGATTATGTCATAAAAGAGTAACAAAATGTTGTAACAGTTAAAAAAAAAAAATTAAGATTGAACTTTATTCTTTGAAGCTATAGAATTTTCTAGTCAAATAAAACAAAAAGAAAATTAAAACTTTTTAGCATTCTAAACTATTTGTATAGCTGATCAAAATTCTATAGTAGTTATCCAACATAATTTTTCTTTAAACTACCAAGTAAAATTAAATCATTACCTTAAACATAACAAACCAATATATTATCAATATGAAATTTTAATATTTGTTAGAAGTCTCAGTCCCGCAAGGATATTGCAGAAAAAACTTAGGTATTTTTTTTGTTGTAAAAATATTCATAAAAATTCCGAGATAAACAGATTAAAATAAAAAACAATCACTTATACATTTCTAGAAAACCTAGCTATTTCATTCAAATAAAATTTTTATTCAGAAATGTAAGATCTTTCAGATCGGAATATGTAAAAATATTATATTTTGCTCCTAATTTATTCATTATTTATGTCCTTAGTGAATATAAAAGGTAGATAATACTTACAATCTAGGCAAAAAAATAAAATAGTATGTTAAGTTTCTTAAACTAAAAGTGTCATATTTAAGAAATAGGCATTGGAAGAAAAAAAAGAAACAGAAAAATATAAAACATAAACAATGTGATTTATTATACAAATTCATGACAGCTAAAATGATCTCAGGATCAATAATTGTAGTGAAATTATTCATCATGTGAGGAACTTTTCTTTTTTTTCTTTTTCTTCTTTTCAGAACCCTTTGAAAAAGAAAATAAATATTAAGTTTTCATAATTATAATAAGTTAACAAAACATAAGTAAAAATAATATATATATTTTATTTTTAAAAAAGAAAATTAATTTAATTTCCTTTCTTATATTAAGAGGCAGCTTCCAATGTTTTTTTTCTTCAATCTGAAATATTTCATTGCAAACTCTAAAATTATTTCCCACAAAAAATCCACCTTAACAGTAGATATAATAGAAAAATATTTTTATACAGGTAAACATGATTTTTATTTATGTAAAGATTAAAACAAAAGTGTTGGGAATCAAAATTTGGCGTTTTAGTTTTTACAAGAGAAACTTATTACAAATAGGAAAACAGTCAAATTTTCTTGACATAATAAAACGTTAGAAACAAAGTTAATTAAATTACAATACAAAATAATACAATTTAATAATTATATTGTATAGTGAAGAACCCAATGCTAAATTAACTACGTAGAAAAAGCCGAATCTCAAGCATTTGCATTTAATATTTATCAATTTATGGGAATAAAGCTTTGAAAAAAGGAGAGGAAAAAATACACTATCTCATGCCTAATTCATACTTTAAATAGTGAAAATATAAGATAAATATGAAACATTTAATTAAATTAAAGAGATTGTTATTATGGAAAAGCAAAACCAATAGACAGTGAAAAAAAGTTTTTGTATGATAAAAGAAAGCCATATCAAATATATAATTAGAAACTAAACATAAAAAGGCAACTAATAATAGCTTAAAAGTGCGTTTATAAAGTTGATACTTACCATGGAATCTACTTCAGGAGCAGGAGATTCTTCTACCTGTTCCGTGGAATGTTTATGCTTCTTATGTTTCTTTTTCTTTTCTACAACAGCGGCAGCAGCTGCCTCTTCTCCACTAGATTCGGAAACTTCTCGCTACAAATGAAAAAGGAATTCAACTTCAATCGTAAAATACTAAATAAATTTATAAAATGATCTGAAATAAAGAATAAAATACTGATAACATTTTGAAATGAAATTAAAAATTTATTAATTAAAATAGCTTCTTCGTAGGATATTGGATGGAAAATGGTATAATTCGCAGGAAAATGGTATAATTTGCTGTCGAATACATATTTTAGAAGATGTAATTTTANTTGTAATTTAGAACGACAAAGAATTTTTTTTTTTTTTTTTTTAAAGATGCTTTTCCTAAAATACTAAAGAATATCACCAAAATTTACAGATGGTATGAAAAATTGAGAAGAAATTTCAGCTTTAAAATATACCAGGGTTTCAATTTTACAAAATACAAATGTCCTGATAACTAATGCCCAATACATTAAATATTTTAGATGAAAGATGCACCAAGTATTAAAGTTTTTTTCACACCTGGGTAACTAGTATTTTATGTAGTATATCAGGGTATTTTTACCTGGCTTCCTTTATTTGTCACCCAGCCGGTTTCGGGTACCCAGTCCGGAATGCTTTGAATGCTATAAAAATGGTATAATTTGCTGTCGAATACATATTTTAGAAGATGTAATTTTAAAGGAACTTATTACTCTCTAATATAAAATTTTCTTCTTATTTCATACATACAAATTTTTTAAAAAAAAAAGCCCCTAAAAGAAATTTGAAAAGACTGTTTGGATGTAAAATTTTGTTATGAAGTAGAGACCACAAACTGCTCCTAGTGACTTTATTATAATTAATTTTTCTTTTGATTTATTCAAATTCTTATTAAGATTTAAAAATGTTAAATGGAGAATTTTTTTTTTAGTAAAATGACATTTTAATTATTAAAGTTCAATTTTTAATCAACCAAAAACTATTAATGTAATGAGATCTACCTTATTAGAAATTCTTAAACTATTAGGTACTGTGTGAAAAATTTTATAACCAATGTTGGACAGAAAATTCATATAGTAGTGTGTCCATCCTTAAATCTCTCTCAGTATCCTAGTAATTATGAACCTTTAAAAGATAAAGTAACAAACAAGGAGCAAATTTGCTGATCACAAAAACTTTTTCTGAGAAACAAATGCACATTTTCGTTATACGGGAGAATAATAAAAACTTCCCTTGGTTAGCTTCATGGTAGGAGAACTTCTAAGAGACTGGTTGGAGACATGTTTAGTGAGAAACCCACTTTCTAATAAAAATTTAGTTCCAAGTTACATATGACTAATTTTATTCATACATGCCTCTTTTTAAGATTAACATTAAAAATGCTTTTTTCTTTGTTGACCGCTAAAAATTTATTTATTAAATTAGCGTGGTTCTAACATTAAATTCAGTAGAATTGCCAGCTAAGTTATGTCAAATACAATTAAATGACTTATATTTATTGATTACAAGATATTTTTATTAACAGAATATTATAAGTTTAATTTTAATAAAGAAATGATATGAAAAGAGTGCTTAATAAAGAATTGAAAAAATAAATAAAGGAAACATATTTACTTAAATATTAAAAAAATTATCTCAGGGTGTATAGCCATATCTTTTCAACAAAAAATAAGCAACTTTTATGTATTTTTCAAGAACTCAAAAAATATTTTTAAGCACTCGTATACATTAAAAAAAGGCAAAATAATTTTCAAAGACTTGACATGACCATGATAAAATAACTAGCTTCTGACAAAGTACCCTTTTCCTGCCAGGATATATATTATATTAGCCACCATTAAAAGATCGAGAGATTTTTCGGTTCAATTTCAGAGGGTGGAAATGAGGCCTGAAATTGAGGAAATCTCGCAAAATACAGCAGAAAATGCACATTAGAACGCTAAATTCTCACCGAACTCAGACTAGTAGATGCACATCCAGACTCTCAAGTATTTCATCAAACATGTAAAATGGATCGGAATTTTCATACACTATGAAAATTCCAATCCATCGAACCCATAACGTTGAATAGAACAATACGAAAAGCACGCTTTTGTGCAATACATGGCGAAAATCGACATGGTGAAGAAAAACAATCTCTCCAAGAATCTCACTTCATTTAAAAACCACTAAATTTTAAAAAGTTGTCTTTTCTTAAAGTAATATACACAGTTAAATCAAATATTAACACATATCACGAAGAATAATGAAAACTGAGAACCAAAGTAAAATAACTGACAGAAAAAACAGTGTCTACATCCTCTTTTAATAAAAGATCAATTACCTTCATAGGAGTGGACGTTTCAACTTTGACTTCTCGAATTTTTGCAACAGGCGTAGCAACTTCACTTTTGACTTTACTGTAAAAAAAAGAAAGCATTGAAAAACAAGAAATGCTTGAAGCACAATATAAAATTATAAAATACTGCAATCATTTCAGTTCAAAGCAAAATAAATAAAACAACAAGGATACTTACACATCACTATATACTGAACTCCAATCAGCAGGAGTATTTTCATTTGGCTTACCATACTTGTCTAACAAGCCATCCTTTACCATTTTTTTCTTTAAGGTGGCCTAAGAAACAACACAGTATTAAGCTATACAAATAATAGAATAGACTTTGTTATACACAGAGGTTTACTTAATATACTTGTATCTTAATATACATGCATGTTTTGTATTTAACATAATATTTTGAATAGGATTTATAATTAAATTACATACCAATGGAGAA